TGCTTGTATCTGAATTAAAGCAAAAAAGATTAATGTTTTATTTATTTATTTAACAGTAGTAGTAGACGTAGTTAATTTTTTGTTGAATTATGTTACTAATCGACTTTAACTTAAAAAAACTTCCAATGTCAACATCAAAGGCATCATTTCCAAGGAAGGAGAAAAAATAAATCGATTGTAGTAACTTTTTATGCCAATGAGATATTAATGAGACTAATGATATTCTTTTATCTGATTCATGGTGCCAAATTTGGCTAATTCGCAAAACAAAATTTCACAAAGTGAAATGCGAGAAACACATAACAAATTTTACTTAAAAAGATAAATTAGTAACTCAAAATTCATAGGCAAATTTGGGTGTGTTTTCTTTCATGGAATAGAATATAGTAAGAAAATAATGAGAAATAATATATTCATTCTTCAATCTATCAAATATATGTATTTTAAGAGACATAAGACTCAATACAAAATACATGCGACTCAAGGTGCCAACTATCTATTTATAAGTTCCTACCTGACTTAAACCATAAAAGTGAATTCTTAAAGATATATAACCAACTTCGTGTGCTAGAAGTAATTTTTGGTTGGAATTGAATGTATTTTAAATACTTTTGATTAAAATTTAGCATAAACTACTTTTTTATAGGTAATATCTCTAGTGCTTGTATTTGAAGGAAAAAAAATCATGATTGTTGTTTTTTTTATTATTTATTCTTTTTATAGTTGTCAATTTTTTGTGAAGTATGCTATTGGCCAATCTTAACAATGTCATTATCAAAGGCATCACAAGATACCTCAAAACCTTTGAAAGCTAAATAATTTAAGAATTTGGAGGAAAAACATCAATTCCTTCATAAAAGCTCTTTGTGTCAAGGTGGCTAAGACAACATGTTTTATTAATTCAATCAATAAAACCATAATTTTGCTAAACCCCCTTAATGAATCTACCATAAAAAATTACCAACTCATTAAAACTATGTACATCATTTATCGATTTAGGTTGATGCTAATTTATGATTTTTTAATCTTAATATCATTTGCAGAAACCCTATTGGCATAAATAAAAAAACATTAGAAAATGTCTTTAGGCTATATAAATAAGCACTTTTTTAAGTTGAAAAAGATTTTTTTTTGTACAAAAGGTTGATAAAACTAAGTGGCAAAAATAATTTCTCAGGAATGTTAAAGGCGATTATATCGTTTAAATACATAGTAAGATATTGTTTATGTATGGATGGAGGATTGGCCATTGCCCTTATAAAGTTATTTAAATCATTTGAAAAACTAAACTGCGTGACTAGTCATTTAACTAATCTATTGGGCACATTAATCATATTTTATTCTAATCCTTAATTTTAAGATAATTTGGTAATATCAATATCTAGGATAAATCTTTGAATTATTATTTTGATCTATTAACTACATACAATTTATCATCCATCCAATCAAAGAATAAGAAACCTATGGTGAATAATTGTCTTTTTAATAAATTTACTATTAACACAAATTATTTTAATAGTTCCACTTTTAATACTCATATACCATGATCTACCCTTTTTTAGAAGTAAGAACAATTGGAATAGCATCAAGTCTAAGGTTTTCCCAAATGAAGGTTTTTTCACAATATCTCATTTATCTAGCATTTTTGTACAATATGTTTGATGTATGCTAGAAAATTCGCGACGGTAGAATAATAGATTTTCGTCTTAGTATTGTACGAGAATTCAATGCTCACTCAGAGGAAAGAAACAACTAGTAGAGACAACAAAAGTTATTGTGTAGAAAACTCGTAAAGGGAAAAATCATGGGGTCTAGCCCAACCGAAGAAATCTACTGAAAATTAATGTTTACAATTACAACCCCTTGTCTCACATACAGGAAAGAGTTACATAGTCTCTTTAGTTACAACTTCGGTGCACAGATGAACTTATTGTAAGAAGTGGGCAGTGGCCAATAATGATTGACAACGACCTACGAGTGGTGGGCAGCAGCGGTCGCCGACGATCGGCGGCGAGGTGATGTTGGACTCCAGCTCATTTTCTAAGCTTCAAGCTCTCCTCCCTTATTCTCATAAGAGAGGTGGGGCTCTATTTATAGAGTCTTGGTTGCAATTAATGAAAAAATACGAAACACTCTGATCGGACGACCCAGCGAGTTTCTCTTGATCAGACAATATTTGATGGACATTTGAGGGTCTTAACAATGCCAAAATTGAGTGATTTTGGACTCTTTGGATTCTTCTTATTGAGACGCTCGATTTGACCATGCGCCCATACGATTGGGATGCTTTTAAAAGTGTTTTAATGACTTCATTTGAGCTTGATTTGAATATGCTTTGATCAATTTTGGTGTCATTGGGTTTGTTTCGTCGAGTCAGTCAGTTTGACTATAAGTTTGTTGAAATCGAAGTTTTGGATGACTCTTAATCAAATTTTAAATGTTTTTTGCTCAAAAAGTTATGTTTAGATGCATGTCATGCATTGAGATTCATGTCTGATGATGAGAATTTGTTAGTGGTGTATCCGTTTCCCCCCTATTTTCTAGCAAGATCAACTCCGTTTTCTGAAAATATCAATATCTATCGACAAGATGAATTCAACAAGCCCAAGATTGTTGAATTCTGTCATCGTTAAGACCCTCAAATGTCCATCTAACACCGTTTGATCGTAAGAAATCCTGGCCGTCAAATCAGAGTGTTTCATATTCCTTCATTAATTGTGACCAGGACTATAAATAGAGCCTCACCTCTCTCATAAGAAAGAAGAGAAGAGCTTGAAGCATGAAGAAGAGCTTGAAGCTTAGAAAATGAGCTGAAGTTTAACATCACCTCGTCCTTGTTCGCCAGTATTTGACTGCCACCTACCACCAGTCGCCGACCACCACTTGCAGGCTACCGCCAATCATCATCGACCACCACCTACTTACAAAAAGTTCATCTGTGCACCAACATTGTAACTTAAGAGACTGTGTAACCCTTTCCTTCCTGTGAGACAAGGAATTGAAACTATAATCATCAATTTCTAGTCGTTCTCTTCGGTTGGGCTAGGTCCCAGGGTTTTCCCTTTACGGTTTTGTATGTAAAAACTTCTGTTGTCTTTATTATTTATTTATTTCATCTGAGTGTGTTGAATTCTCGTGCAACATTAAGATGATTACTCTACCGTCGCAAATTTTCTAGCATGCATCAAATGCTTTTAAGGGTTCTTGTGATAGTGAGATAGATTTGGTAAATGAGGATTGAGCACCAAAAGTATAGTAGTTTGGAGAAGTTTTAAACTTAAAAAATTACCGCAATCAACAAGTACTATCTATAGGTTACTAGTTTGCTCGTATGGCGGTCCATGTTATTGGGAAAAGAGAAGGGGAGGGGGAGGGTATGATAAGCCCAATCTAATTGGTTTGTTATGAGCTCCATTAGGCATAGCTGTACCATATTTGGCATACTGTTTTCAATTGGTTCAACCTTTAAAGTCTTCAATCATTTTGAGCTCTCATGCGATTGATCAAATCAATTTAGGAATTACATTTTAGTAAATCAAAATTTTCAAAATTTTTTTATTAGGGTTTTTTTAGGACACGACAGTAGATGAACTATGATAGTGGCTTAGCGACAATGACAAATGAAGTTAGGAGTGTTGGATCTAGGGACGGTTATAGGAATTGGTTGCTTGAGCAGTGAGCGACATAAGAATCGGCGGGGACAATTTTGTGATGTTCATAGAAAAAAATATGAGATGCAAATGTGCCTAAGGTTGGTGGTGCTTATGTTGGAGGCTTTGAAGACGAGTGTCAACATTCATAACTTCAGGGACAAGATCTCTATGATATTGTGATGCTCGGGAATGAGACTTCATTTAAGTTTGATCTATTTTGAATTCACTTAATTTCGGTGAATTCATAATACTAAGAATGATATATTGGTAGAGTTTCATTTTCCCGAAAAAATTAAAAAATTAAAACTCCATGCAATACACTCAGAATACTCTCAACCCAACAACATCTAGATTTCCTTAAATAATTGTTAGAGAAGAATGACTCACCGGTCACAATAAGGTTTAGTTTAGAAGAACAAAAATTTGAAGAAGTTTTAACTACAAAACTTACTACAATCAAACAAGGACTATGAGGCCGCTTGCGTGTACCTATGTTGGCTGATGCATGGTAAAGTGGAGGGGAAAGGGAAGGGGTTACTATTTCAGTTTGTTTGCTCTAGTATGAGCTAGATCAGCCTTATTCAAGCCAATATTAGCCTATCTGGGACTATTTTCATCTGTTCCAGCCTTTAAAACCTTCAATTAGTTGTTTTGAGCTTCTGATGTTTCTCTGCAGTTGATCAAATCAGTTTGGGCTCAATAGAGCACTGATTCAGTCAATTTAAGTTAAATCGGATTCTGTTTTGCTTTTTTGTGTTGCCTCGTGATTTGTGTTTCATGTCACAAATTTAAATTGATTAGGGATTTGCATGATAATAGGAGCTTTAATTGGCTATGTTTCTACTGCTTTTTAAGTAAGTGATCGCCTCTACAGCTCCTCAATGGCCTCTAATTTTTCTGCCAGTATATTACCAATCACATGTGTGGCACTTGCTGCCCGGTAGGTCGGTTTAATCATTTTCCTTGGCTAAGTTATCTTAACGGACTATAATCAATTACCTTATTCCATTTTTTTTTAATTTGGATTATCCAAGGAATCTCGTTGAAGCCACATGAAATTCTTATTGCAATTATTTACAATTTGTGTCTTAATGCAGTCTATTGTCAGTTTCTTGTTTATTTTTTGTGCTTATTTGCAAGCCGGATGCTGGTCTTTCATCTTATCCCGACTTTTTCTGCCATGATTGTCACCTATATCTTGTCCTTCAGGTCAGCTGATAATGTTTTTGCAAGTTTAGAAAATTGACTATTTCTAGAACATTTTTAATAAAAAAAAATATTTTCATTCCTGCCCATTGCTTTTCATTCATTTTCCATTAGATTTGATGCTGGTAAGTTCTAATGCAGACATTATCGGCATGGAAAGATAGGCTTTGCACATGGGGCTACGAACCACTGTTTTGTAGCGTAGAAAGCAAAAGCGGATTGACTTTTCTTGAAGATATCCTGAAAGGAAGAACAACAGTTGTTGTTGGACCAAGTGGAGTTGGCAAGTCCAGCCTCATCAATTTTTTGAGAAGTGACCAACATATTGAGGAAATTAGTGATATTTATGTGAGTGGTTGTACCTGCTATCTCCCTATTAAAAGTTCTATTTTTTCTGATCGTTTATATTCTTTAGTAAACTTTGCATTGTCTGAATATTTTTCTTAGCCAATGCTTGGCTGCAGCCTAGATTTGCATTAAATAGGATTTATTAAATTCAATGAAATCGAGCTCGTGAACGGCGACGGAGTAAATCTTCGTCGCAAGTGGATTTATTAAATCCGGATTTACGTCGTAACACAGATGGGCCACGAGAAAAGAAGATTTAATAAAGCATTGGATTTAATTTTAATTTTTTTTATGTTTGGCTAGATTTAATTTAAATCCATTACTAATTCTTATTAATAGTATGCTACCGAACATCGCCTTAATTTTAGAGTGTATAGACTTACTCATTTAACACATCCTTTTTAGGGTGAAGGTGTTAAGTGGCTTGGAGACCAGAGAGTTGCTGAAGTGTCGAAGAAAAGTGGTCAGGGAAGACACACAACTCGGCATGTTTCCTTACTTCCGCTCGTAGGAGGAGGTTATGTTGCAGATACACCTGGCTTTAACCAGCCTAGCCTTTTGAAAGTAACCAAAAAGACACTTGCAGAAGCTTTTCCAGAGGTTTGCTTTATTAACATGATTATTATGGGTGTTTGCATTTCTTATTTTTTTCATAGGGTTTGGGATGGTTGCAACTATCTATGCTAGTGATTGTAGAAGTGTTGGAAATTTTAATTATTTCGAAATTCTGTTGTGTTTATTATGGATTTTTTTCTTTTGAAAAATCAAACAACTTCTGCAATCAAACTAGCAGATATGGTCATAAAAAGTTGCTTCCGCTGCAAAAGGTTGTTAGAAGTAGCAAGAAAACTATGGACAGTGACGGTTGTCTATCAAGCCAAGCATTATGAAAGTCGCCCCAATCAGACCTTTAGGAGCCGTTTGGGGTCGCTTTTGATTTTGATTTTTCTTAAATTTTCACATGAAATAAAACATGTTTGGTATAATATAACATAATTAATTATATTTCAAAATACTCAAACTATTTTTTAGATTTTTTGAATGTTTTAAAGCAAGCTAATTTGTTTTTGAAAAAATAAAAATAAAAACATCCAAAAAATGCATTAAACAAACATAATTTTAGAAGAAAAGCAAAGCAAGAACAAAAAAACAAAATGCAAAAGTGATCCTAAACAGGCCCTTATTTATCATACTTTGAATTGCTTCTATAATTGAATAGTTCCCGCTTTCTAATTATTCTCTTCTTTGCTTTTTCAGTTGAGGCAAATGCTGAGAGATAGTGAGCCTGCAAGTTGCTCATTCAGTGATTGCTTACATGTGGGTGAACCGGGATGCGTTGTGAAAGGAGACTGGGAACGATATCCATACTACCTTCAGTTGCTAGATGAAATCAAGATCAGAGAACAGATCCAGCTCCGGACATTTGGAACGAAGAGGGAAGGTGATGTCAGGTATGGTGGTAGACAGGATAGCTATTCTGGCAAATATATCATGAATGTTATGGGCATGCTTGTTTTTAAGAGATTGGATAGAATGTAAATTCATTTTATTTCGTAGTTTTATTTTTTGTGTTTGGTTCTAGTGTAATTCTTAGGTAATTAGATTTATTGAGTAAATACTTTCACATGCATTTTCCAATGACAAATTCTTACATTATTCGGTGAAAAATGGGAAGAGAAATTTATTGGATCGGCAATAAGGCTCATTAATGAGACGAAAGCTCCTCGTTGTTGTTGTTGTAGCACTAAGGCTCACTAATCCCCTCGTAACAATGTTTCTCTTCATTGAAACAAGTAAGAAAAAAGTAAAATCAATTTTTTGTCCAAACAAGCGCGTCAAAGCTTGTTTTAGTTACTTTTTCATTTTTATCTCCGTTTTTTTTCCATTTCCTCTTTATCAATTTCTTAAAACCATGAAGAGCCTATGTGACCATTAGTGACCAAAAGGCTGAAATGTTGATATAGTGACGTACCTTGTTTCCTGATGCACAGTTTAGTGACATACCTTGTTTCCTGATGCACAGTTTTTTGTTTAGATTTTTATTATGTTCTGATGGATCTTTGTAGGGCACAGTTAATAAACTTGCCCATCTGATAACATGAGCAGAGTTTTTTGTTTAGATTTTTATTATGTTCTGATGGATCTGATAACATGAGCAGAGCGCCAGTATCCATTTAAAAGTTTCCTATATTTTTTGACTTCTTATACAAATTTACATACATACAACAAAATTCTTAAGCATTTACATATTTAACACTAAGTTCAATATTTACATTGATGACACTGGTGTCATAAACTCATGCATGAAAAGTTGTTTTCCACTTTTAAGAAGTTAGTACTCGTGGTATATTTGATGACATATTGAAGATGAGTGTGATGCATGTACATATGAAAGTTCAGATGTTATGTAATTATGTAAGAATTTTGTGGTATATATTTAAATGTCTCCTTCAACTTTTTAGTCTTATTAGTTAATTTCCTTTTCTTTTAACGCTTTGAATTTTGAAGCTGCTATGGAAACAGAAGGATGATGAATCAATATTTCTTTGGCAGGTACAAGGTGGGTGATATGGGCATCATACAACCTGAGCCTCGACTCGAACCTAAGAAGCACCGGCGGATTTCAAGGAAGCGTCTCAATCAATCAATACTTGATGAACTTGACGAGATAGATGAGGATTGGGATGAAATAGCAAGGTGAGATTAGCTTTAGAGTTATATATAGGTCATTTGCATGGCAAAGTATTGAACAATATATGAGATTATTGGCTTCAATTAGTAATTTCCCTGTTAAAATAAGTTTCTATAGCTCTGTACATATTTTGTTATAAGATTCATCTTGCTTGACATCATTCATGATCGAGAAATGTCAGTTCCTATTAGTGTTGTTAAAAGCTTTCTGAAACTGTTTTTGGCGTGTAAAATTGAGCCAATGAAACATGATTGTGGATGTCAAAACCGGGTTCTCCCAAAATTTTAATTTTTTTTTTATTATTTTAGTGAATGTCAATGTTCAGTCTGGCAATACTAGGGGAGAGGGTGACTTGTGTGTCCGTTGATAGATATGCTACCAATTCAGACTCAAACAATCAAACATGTGGAAGACTAAACATTTACATCATGTGTAACCATATAGGTACATGAAAGTGCATAAGATGTATGATGCGAATATAATAGTGTTCAAGTTGTACGGATAAAAGTAATGATATTACACTTGTTGACCCACTGAAAAATAGCACAGCTTGCATCTCCTGCAATCCCATGTCTTGTTCATGTTGCCATCTTGCCTATACTTATTCCCAAGGCCTACTCACTGAAATTTTATTTTTCTTATAATTTTCTCATATGGGTGAACAATACATGTCTTTTTGTTGTGGTGGGGGAGAAGACTAGACGTTTCTTGGCATTTTTAAAAAAATATTCTCAAAAATCTAGTTTGTAAAGTTTTCACATCAGTACAAAACTCACACTTTTTATTATGATAAATTAGAAAACCTTGACCATTATACTAGATGAAACACATGCACATCTTTATTGAAGTAATGCACAAGCCAGGTTGCCCATTTTTTGTAAATAGAAATTACTTTCTGGACTTGTTAACATGTCAAAAATAAAAATAAAAAAGGTGTAAAGCACAATGAAACAACATATCACTTGAGATGCTATATAAGTCTTAAAAGAAACAGAAATTACTGAAAATGATGCAAAACTAAAATTAAAAATGAATTTATAGGAACTTCATATGCTTGTTGATTGGCAAAACTAGAACTCCCCATTGCACTTGAACTCTAAATTTTATATGATTGAGTTGGATGTGGAAAAGAAAGCCGGCTACATTCCTATTTATAACTGGAAGAGAGGTCCATTGTTGGGCTCACTCGAACAATATGAGGGTCAAATACAAGCCCTATGCATTGCTTTAAATAATCAACAACTCATCCTATCGGATCCTCAAACCAACACATGTAAGCAAACCTAATGTGTCATTGGTGAACTCAAAATGCAATATCATAAGTGTGTTTCAATGACAATAATCTCTAGTAAACAAACAACATATTAGGCCATAACACATCTCAAATAGTTGTGCACATGTGAATGCCTTTCAAACAAATTATCCATCCTATTGTGCATTATGGGTTACACAAGTGCTCTAAGTAACATCCACATAATCACTAAAAGTAACCTATACATAGCACAAATGATAAAAATGCTTCCAAAGTAATTTTTTTCTCAAACTAGATAAGTGGTTTATTGTCGTGTTTCATGGGTCACATGATCGTTTAAAAAAAGTGTGTAAGATACATTAAATCACTAAAAAATAATATATTTTCATGTGCTATGAATAACGAGTTAAATGTTAGAACCCAAAGTTTGGCCTACACTGAGAAGCTTGCAACTGTATTAAAGAGCCTCATAATTATTATAAAATAAGATACTCTTTTTCCAATATAAATAAAATCTACAATTTGCAAAATATTCTCGACTTGGTCACCCCACTTATATATAATATAGGGTCGAGGGTCCCATTTAGGTAATATGATCATCATCCCCTAAAAGAAGTAAAATTAATGAGACTGATACCTTTTTATAATGTCCAAAAAATAAATTTCAAATAAATTCTTAATAAAAATCAATTTAATTATTGTAATCATCTTAAACAAGTGAATATAAATAGTTAGCGTTGTACATAATATTCTCGGCAGTATACCCCACTTATAAGGTAGAGTCGTAAGTTTCATCTACCTAATCTGATTGTCTCCAAATTCGACTAAATCAATAATACTGTGTTGTTTTTTTTTTGTAATATTTTAGTATAAAATTTCAACCAAATTTAAATGAAAAATGATTTTAATTGCATTCAATCTAATTAAGCAAACTAACACCTTTATAGTCTGAAAACCAAATACTCATAGTTTTCAACAAAAATATTTTTATTCATGGTTTCATATGACCTTCAATGTCTTTAGTAATTGAATGTCATATAAGAAAATATAAAACCTAGTTATCATGTTTATTACAATCACAAATTTTATTTTAAGGTCAATAAGATAAAATCATTCAAATATATTGATGATGATTGCGTTGATAGAGAATTCCAATGAGGAAAAATATTATCATCAAAATACCTTTAAATCATAATGCAAATTATTTGAGCTTAGAACTCCAAAAAAATATGAGGAATTTTAAAAAAAAATTATGAAATATGATGATATTCAAATGGAATCTAACACCTAAATCTTAAAATAATATTTCATTTTCCCTTCATAATAATTTATTGAGGATCATTAATTTAGAATTAATCTTAGCTCAGAAATAGCAAATGTTATATCAAGTATGTCTCTATTATCACTCTAAAAAATCTCTTCTTAGTAAGAATGCAACACATATCTGCTGATTGGGTGATTTTTTTAACTAAATGAACCCAAAAAAATGTATTAGGGCTCTATTAATAATTTGTTTATTGAAAATAGTCTCATTAAATTACAATCATTGTTAAAACCCATAAATTCTCCAATAGCACAAACTCTCTTAGTGATGAGGTATGGACTACACTTGATATGCCATGAAGTCCTCTATTAATTAAGATTGATTTAAATATCCTCTTAAATAAGCCTCTTTCTTAGGAATAAAATTTCTTTAAATGATGTAACTCATTGCTATGTATAAGGATATATTAATCAAAATCATCCAAGTATATTCTCTAATTATACATGGGTCTACAACAACCTAGGATAATGGAATCATGCAATTTTGATCTCATTACCATTCTCCTGTTATTCATTCTTAAACTAAATGCAATAAATTTTCTTAAATTAAAATAAAATCATTTATAAAAAAAATAAAAAAAATTATTTTTACTCTATGCTAAACATTTTGCACCTTCTCATCAATTTTAATCTAAAGTTTTCTCCCATATCAAAAGGAGTAATGAACCATAAAGACTTGAGTTTTAAAGAAACTTGTAATCAAATCATAATGTTTTTGTAAAATGAGGTCAAAATCTATAAATAATTTCTTATTTTAAATTCAATATTTATTTTAATATTTGATCCAAAACTAGACTCTCATATAGAAAAGCTAGATATAAATTTTTGAAACACACATATTTATAGTGATTCCATTAAGGATACTTATCTCTTTTCATCTTTATATTATTATGTATGTGCTTAATGCTAATCTAAATAGAAATAAAATTAAAATTCAAAGTTGCCTTAACTTCTATTTTTAGCATGGTTATAAATTATTTTAGCTATTATGTAGAGCCTAATTCTTATTGTAATTGTTGGCATTGTTTTTGCCTTTTTTTATGCTGCCCTACTTTTCTAGATATTTCTTAAGCCTGTATGAGCACAATCGGTCACTCAAGAAGGAAAATTTGCTATGGGGTAAAAAACGTTCAGGCACTACAACATTGATGTCAGCGTCACGACCCTACATGTGATAAAACTTATATCTGAAACCAACCGCCATTGTTTATGATGTGACAATGCTTAGATTAGGTGAAACAATGCTCATTAAACATATTTAATGTTGGCGTTGATTCTCTGATGCTTCGGACTGTGAGGCACCTCGATCTTGAGGGCAGCGCCATAGTGCCTTACCTGAAAACATTTATGGCCCCTACTCGAAGGAGTTAATATTTGAGTATGGTATCATGATGCCATGTCAGGCACAGTGACACCCGATTATCTATAAATAGGTGATGGGGTTAATGGTTTCAGTACATTGAATCTTTTGTAGCAAAGCTCTACCACGTATTTCCCCCCTTTTATCATTCTATTACGGCTGTGTGGCCAGGTCTCAAACGTGCACCAACCAACTATTCTTATGATTGTGACCTGAACAATGAGACTTCTGATTTTGATGCTTGCTTCACGTCGAGAGCTACTATGCCCCAGAGAAACTTGGGCACAAATGCATGGATTCATCGTACCATAACATTATTGATGAATAAAAGAGAGAAAGAGATAGGCTCTTATTTATTTTCTTGTGTCCATCACAAATCATGAAAATTTTCTATCTAAATGATCATATGCATAATTTGAAGAATAATATACTAAGTTGGGGGATATAAATATTATCTTAAAATGGATCTAACCATTCAAATGAGGAAAATTTTTAAGACTTATGAGTCTACATAACCAAAGATTTTTCCCATACTTTATGGGTGTAAGAGTTTATTTTTATTCTAGGGTCTGGTATCCTTACAAGATTAAGCCCTCGAAATTAATCACATTCCATGAGTTATAGCTTCGGAGAATACTCTCAAGTAAAGTATTCACTTATAACATACATAATTATATGGTAAGTGTCTTAAAGATTAAAAAATTTGGTAGGAATTGAAATGTTGTGGCTTACAGTCCATTGATGATGTGTCACAAAAAAGACCCAGGAAAAGGGCTAGCCAACTATGGGAAGAAGGCATACCCTAGAGATTAGAATTATAACTTTATTGAAAAATGTAAAATTTTGATTTATAATTGGTTTGAAAAAGCTTGGTTGAGTTTAGTTATTTGAATAGAGTTTGGTCTGCATTGATTCATTGAAGCTGAAAGCTTCAGATGGTTTTATTTGATTTCAGTTGATTGATTCGAGTTAAATAAAATTTATTTTGAGCAAAATTTTTAGCTTACATATTTTTTTAATCTTGATAAAATTTGTTTGGGGATTGTTAAAGTTGATTCATGAAGTTTTGTTAACATTTGAAGGTATTAAGATTTGTTTGAAATTATCTGAAGTTTATTTGAACATTGAGGTCTTGTTTAAGTTTATTTGAATAATTAAATTTTCAAAGTTGAAATATTTGAAATTTTAAGGTTTAAAAAGTTTTAGAAGTTTTAAATGTTTAAGCTTTAAAGTATTAAAGTTTAATTTTTTTTTTAAATTTTAAAAATTTTGGTAGTTTTAAAAGTTTTGTTTAAGTTTTTGAAGTTTTAAAAGTTTTAAAGTTTTTTGAAGGTTTTTAAACCC